GGGTCAATTTCTTCGAAATATTTCCTACACCTTAGTCATGGATGTCCAAACTTCCTACAGTTTAGTTTTTGACAGAGGCTTAATTTTACTTTGCGGTTCTAACGGCCAAAACAGATGTCAAATAAGGTTAAGAGATTGAGAAAGAAAGGAGTGTTGGAGTAGGGTGTTTTGCAAACGTCCGCATCACATGCAGTAGCTTCTCCAAACTTAAAAGTGAAAGGCAGATGCGCAAAAAGTTGCGACTATGAAATGTTCTTCCGAGGGGGGGGGAGGGAGGGGCAGGGTTTTTAAAAGCCCTTAGTGTGACAATATGGGCATGCAAAGGCAAATTATTCAAAAAAGCAAATAAGGTGATGACTGTCCCTGATCGCATTAACCCAACACCAGTTTGAAGATTATTAGTGCCGAATTCAGCCCTATCAGAGGAACTAAGAGAGCACGTTAGGAATGACGCGAAAGGAAACTTACTTCGCATAACTGTCCGCACTGATGTAATGAAGGTCAGTAGCCGAGACTTGAAGGTAGCGTCGCCCACAAATTCGTAACTGGCAGGAGTCCAGCCACCTGAAAAAGATAGGTCAGAAAGGGTACCTCCTTACGTTTGGCGAGGAAACGTTGCTCATTAAGGATGCAGACCGCATTGAGCATGAGGACGATAGCCTCGAAAAGGGTGTACAGACCGAACGCCATAATTTAAAAGGTACTGAACGCCGAGCTAGAAGAAAGCAGAATATGTTTGAAAAATCCAAGAAATATCCGACATCAGCAACTGTAGCATGGGGAATTAAAAACGCTGAAGACTGGGAAACACAATTTTAGGATAGGGAAATACAAATGGTTACTTGAGGCGCGGTAATGGGGGAAGGGAAAAAACTATCACTGCTTTTGATACGATGCCGCCTGCGGCCACAATGATATCTGTTAACTAGAAGGTTCGATTTTTCTGGGAAATATTCTCATACGTTTTAATCCTGTGCCAGAAGTAGCTATAAGAGCTCGGGGTGAGAGTAGGCTCAAACCATTGCAATGACGAAATGCACCGTCGGTCTGAATGATCCCCCTACGCCGCCAAAAAGGCAATTTCAGGTAAGAACTGTGTACTGCACAAAATTGGAATGGCGCATGTTCGGCCGTCTTTGGTAGAGTCTAGTGTCTAAGAAGGAGCCGATCGAAACAAAATATTATTAAATGAACCGGGATGTCTAGGGTCTATAGTAATGCTTTAATTAGTAAAGTGACAGTCCTTCAATCCCACCCCATATGCTATCCTTTTCCGTAAGACTCCAATTTATGGATCATTAGTTAACTACCACGCAACCGTTTCAGACATGTTGGATACTGACCTTAGATCAGACCCATGCCAGTAGGAAGGGCCTTTGTGTGCGCTTTCAAGAAAGTTAACGAATACAAAAAATGATTATAGTAAATCGTTAACAGACTGGTGCTCCTCTTTTTAATGCTCAGATGCATTTGTGCACTGTAGAATTCGACCACTCAGAATTTCTGATTTGCCTGATAGAAAAATATGACATATTCATGCGAACAGTAGGTCACCTCCTCAGACCCCTTCCATTCAATGGGTTAGCCTATCCTTCTGAAGTGTACTCCGCAAATTTACACTAAGATTAATCACGAGGTAACCGGCTGTAGGTGACAGTAATTCCTTCAAGCAATTTACGTGAATTCAAAAATAGAGATTAGTGAACCCTGCTTTCTAATCGAAATAAGTTTTGAATACATTGAACTCGGCACGACCTTAATTCCATTTTAGTAAGGTCTGTGAATCACGCAACGATGAAGAGTGTGTCCCAAAGGAAAGCAGCAATTTTGGCTGATGAAGCATGTCTCAAATATAGAATGTCAAGGAACTAAACCACTTCCCTAAAGATAACGAAGAGTTTAATTCTGTGGCCCAGTCAAAGAAGCCACCAGTTCAAAGGAGAACTCGCCAGTGTCATTCGCTACTTAGGTTCAGTGAACATCTACAACGACCGGTGGAATGGTTAAGGCCCTGACGTACAATCCTCATCACAGTGCACCTAAAATTTGCATCTTGGTCGAAGTTAACCTGCGGCGCAGCGTTTCATGTGTACAAAATAGGAGTATGTGG